CTCTTCTCTCTCTCTCTCCTCTCAACCAGACACTAAACCACAGATATCCCACCATATGCATGGTCCCCACATACCTTTTCTCCTTCCAACTGGATACTTTGTGATTAGCATTGGATGGCTCCCTTCCGCATCATGTCCGCGGACCAGGTCCGGACATAAAAACAGACATATACCGGAGACATTTACTGGTCAGCTTTGGAGATGCCCTTATAGCGTTTCTTTTTATGATGTCCATGTTTCTTATGATTCTTGCTTCAAGAGCACTAGAGATGACGATGTGGTGATCAGGATTCTGTACTGCGGTATCTGCCACTCTGATCTGCACGGCATCAAGAACGATTGGAAGAACGCTAAATACCCCATGGTCCCTGGGCATGAGATCGCCGGCGAGGTCAATGAGGTCGGCAAGAATGTGACCAAGTTCAAGACCGGCGACCGTGTGGGCGTCGGGTGCATGGTGAATTCGTGCCAATCCTGCGAGAGCTGCAACAAGGGCTTCGAGAACCTCTGCCCGGGCATAATCCCCACCTACAACTTGGTCGACCTTGATGGCACCATCACCTACGGTGGCTACTCCAGCATGGTAGTGGTGCACGAGCGGTTCGTGGTCAGGTTCCCCGACACCATTCCGCTCGACAAGGGAGCGCCGCTGCTGTGCGCTGGCATCACCGTGTACAGCCCCATGAAGTACCACGGTCTAAACGTTCCCGGGATGCACCTCGGTGTGTTGGGACTGGGCGGGCTGGGCCATGTTGCGGTCAAGTTCGACAAGGCCTTCGGGATGAAGGTAACGGTGATTAGCTCTTCGCCGGGGAAGAAGCAGGAGGCCCTCGAGAGGCTAGGCGCCGATGCGTTCATTGTCAGCAAGAACGACAAGGAGATGAAGGTATGCAAATGTTTTCAATCGATCACCAATTTTTTTGACTCAAATTGGTTTATATTAGACTAATAGAACATTGGACACAACCAAAATATATGGTACTAAACTCACAGACACAAGAACAACCCTAAGGCCTAAATAAAGGACCTACGATTATATGCCTCTTGTCGGAGCCACAACAAGATTTATCGTTGTTGCACCACCATAGCTCTTGCCGAAAATGAACAACATCAACAAATCCGGCCATTGAAGTACTTGCAAAGACCTACTCCCTCCGTCCGAAAATACTTGTCATCAAAATGGATAAAAAAAGATGTATCTAGAACTAAAATACATCTAGATACATCCCCTTTTATCCATTTTGATGACAAGTATTTCCGGACGGAGGGAGTATAAAGAAAGAATTGTCACAATAGCAGACCGCCACATACCATGGAGATTTGCAACAACACCAAGCATATCGGCACGGGGATCACCCTGATCAAGGCAGACATCAGTGCTACTATCGCTCGAAGATGATGTTGCCGCCGCCGATGCACATGAAGCCCCGCCGACAAACAACACAAAAAATCAACCCGTCATCCACAAGTAACAACAGGGACAAAATCTTCCAGGCTCCTTGATAATGCCACAAGAAGCTTCATCGAGACGGGATTGGAGTCGGGCAACTTTTATTCTAGATGACGCCGTCATCCATTGGACTGATGTCGGCCACGAGACCAAAACCTGCTACACAAAAGACGAGAGATGAAAATCCCCTCCCCTCACCCTGCAGTCCGGAGCGACGATTGGAGCGGAGTGAAGAGGATTTTTTTTTGGCGGCTAAGGTTTCTTCACGGGTATTTTGTTTAAACTAGCAAAAGGTGTGTTGCAATGGGAGAAAAAATAAATCATAATCTAGCTATGACCACATTTTGTTAACATCTCATCGCAAGATTTTGAAGAAAAAAATTCACAGATGATAGAAAGTGTACCCTTTCTAAATTTATTCACAAATTGAGCAATGTTCACATTTTCGAAAAAATAGCGTGGTTGTAAAAAAACTTGACAATTCAAAGAATTATTCTGAATTTCAAGAAACATTTTAAAAAACATACTACTCCCTTCGTTCATTTTTATAAGACGTTTTGGACAGCTAGCTTTGAACTGTTTTAGGCACTGTCTGAATTGTCCAAGACGTCTTATAAAAGTGAACAGAAAAAGTATAATATTTCGATCCACCCCGGTAGTTAATTCTTCAAAATTCACACGGGTATATAGTCACAAAGACTCACAAACATTACTGTTTAACTACATACCTTCGATCATTCGTGAATATTTTTATAAATTTGAGAACATTTTCTTTTGAATCGGCGAACGATTCTACAATAGACGAACATTTTTTTTAAATTGGTGGACTTTGTTAAATTCATGAATATTTTTTGAAATGCATGAACATTTTTTGAATTAGCAAACATTTTACTAATGAAGAAACTCTTTCATAACTCATGAACTATTTTTAAAACTTTAGGACATTTTTTTAACAATTCATGCACATTTTTGAATTAGCAAACATTTTGTTCAATTTTATTAACAATTTTTAATGCACTGAATTTTTTCAAAATGAAGTATTTTTTATTTTATAGACATTTTTTAAAAAAATGCGATTCTTTTAGAAAAATCCGAGCATTTTTTGAATTCATAAACAATTTATATTTTCTTGAGCCTTTTATTTCAAAATTCTCAGTTTTTCTAAATTTGAGAAATTTTTTTAAGTCCCAAATTATTTAATGTAGAAAAAAAGAAAAACAGAATATAAAAACAACAATAAAAAAGAAATTATAAAACAGACCGCCCGCACATGGGCTGGCCCAAAAGACATCATGCGTATTCTCCTGCACAAAAAGCGCAGTATAGAAGGACTCTACTGCATGGGCAGGCCCATGCGGGTGATTCCCTGCAAAACGTTTTTTGTCACTTATACGTGGCATTGGTAGAAAATGTAATCTAGGTATAGGTAGATATGTTTTGTTGGGCAATCCTCATGACCAAACTCTTGTACCTATGAACATTACTCTGATTCAATAAAGCTTGCGAGACTAGTCAAAAAAAAGTTATATGTGACTTTAGGGGCAATTTTAATGATGTGCCGCCAAAAGCACTATTTGCTTTATTATTACATAGAGATTGTTTCCAATCACCAATTCATCAAGCAAGACTATTAGATTGTTCTTTTAGTTCATGTGTGCTTACTGTTTACTGCTTTAATTTAAATTTAAATGTGTCACCTTTGCAGGCCGCGATGAGTACCATGGATGGCATCATAAACACGGTGTCTGCAAACATCCCCATGGCCCCTTTCTTGGGGCTACTGAAACCCAACGGCAAGATGATCATGGTTGGTCTCCCAGAGAAGCCTATGGAGATCTCTCCCTTTGCTCTGGTTGCCAGTAAGTCATCCGACCTCACATGCTTAGCTATATACTATACCCTTTCTCGTCTAACAATTTTAAGAAACCATGCATTGCATTATCGACCACATGCATTTAGTTGTGTGTGTAACTGACTGGCAGTGGCGGAGCCAGGAATTAAAGATTAGGGGGGTCAAATGACTCAATCTTTTGATAAGAGGGGCCAAACAATACGAATGCATGTATTTTTGTCTAAATTTTAGACCGTTCATGTACAAACTAGCAGCAAATCAGCTGTCATAGGAGGGGGCAGGGCCCCTGTCTCCGCCACTGCTGACTGGTACACATACTGATGTACGTGTGACTGACTGTATGCACAGCGAACAAGACCCTGGCCGGGAGCCTCATTGGCGGCATGAGGGACACCCAGGAGATGCTTGACCTCGCGGCCAAGCACGGCGTGACGGCAGACATCGAAGTGATCGGTGCCGAGTACGTGAACACGGCCATGGAGCGCCTTGCCAAGGCCGATGTCAGGTATCGATTCGTCGTCGACATTGGCAACACCCTCGACAAGGCCGCCGCCGCCGCCGCGGAGTGATTATGCCTCTCTGCTCTTGTCAGCAGTAGCAAGAAACAACCGAAAAATATGTTTTGGTGTGAAGGTGTAAACCCTCATGTACGCGACACCGCATTTGTATTTGTATGTAATAGTAGTACATGAATTCTTCTTCGTACTGGCAGATGTTGCATGGTATCCAAAGAAATCATATCTTCTATACACCATCAGTTGTGTCATCTTATTGCCAAACACATGGCTTGTTTGAGACTGCTTCGCTCCACCAAAATCACTTTCTAAAGAGCTTCACAAAAACTGTAAGTTGTACCTCAGATTCTATTTTTTTTCAGAGCGGCATATTATGGAGATACCCTGTTTGGCTTGCGTTTTCTAAAGCAGAATTTCAAATTAAACATTTTTACAAAATTGTTAACAAATTCCCAATAAATTGATGTTGAACATAAATTACAAACCACACACTTTTTAAAAACAATTATCAGCTTTTTTTGAAACAAAATATTTCATAAATTTGTGAACAATTTTTTGAAAACGGGATTCTTTTCTAACACTGTAAACAATATCTAAAAAATATTTCAAAATTTTGATTTTTTATAAATAATAATAAATATCAAAAAAGAGAAAAATAAATTAACGAAAAAAGAAAAAAAGAAACAAAAAAACAAATAAGCCTTGCCCAACTAGGCGACGACATCGCACAATTATGACATAATGCATGCACTATAATATCTGGTTTTGGGAACCTTCTAGAGGGTTTTCATTGGTTTCGTTTTTTTTATTTTCAATATTTTTTCCTTTTTGTTTTTTTTACGTTTGTTGGTTTCTTTTTTTCTATTTTTTTCCATATATCTTTATTTTCTGAAAATGTTCGGAATTCCAGAAAATTGCTCAGGATTCCAAAGTTTTGTTCGCATTTTGAAAAGAATATTCAGAACTTTTTCTTGCTCCAGAATAATTCAAAAAAGTTCCCATTGTTTCATAAAATGATTACGCTTCAAAAATGTTCACGTTCTTTTTAAATGATCAAAAGTTATGAAAAATATTTGCTGTTTAAATGAAAGTTCTCTACAGTACCTACTGATTTTTAACTTTGTTCATGTTTTCAAAATGTTCGCATTTTTAAAAAATGTTCAAACTTCAAGAAATGTTTACGTACTTAGATTGTAAGTTACCTCCATGCATATTTGGTATCCCAACCTACTTGTTCTAACAGGTCCACTGTAATTAAACATCAATTGAAATGTATGACAACCCTTTGAAATCCATCCATATTTTGGGTTTGCATGCTGATGGAGTGTAAAACAGATGTCAAATTTAATACAGCTTATTATTTTGTAATTGCTGGTGACACGACAATATTTAGTGTAGACATTTTTTATGTGCCTATGAATTTGTACCTGTTGGGGAACGCAGTAATTTCAAAAAAAATCCTACGCACACGCAAGATCATGGTGATGCATAGCAACAAGAGGGGAAGAGTGTTGTCCACGTACCCTCATAGACCATAAGCAGAAGCGTTACGACAACGCGGTTGACGTAGTCGTACGTCTTCACGATCGACCGATCCTATTACCGAAGGTACGACACCTCCGTGATCTGCACACGTTCGGCTCGGTGACGTCCCACGAACTCACCATCTAGCAGAGTGTCGAGGGAGAGCTTCGTCAGCACGACGGCATGATGACGGTGATGATGATGCTACCAAAACAAGGGTTCTCCTAAGCACCGCTACGATATGACCAAGGTGGATTATGGTGGAGGGGGGCACCGCACACGGGTGGACACAATCAACTTGTGTGTTCTAGGGTGCCCCCTGCCCCCGTATATAAAGGAGCAAGGGGGAGGCCGGCCGGCCTAGGGGCGCGCCAAAGAGAGGGGGAGTCCTCCTCCTAGTAGAAGTAGGACTCCCCTTTTCCTAGTCCAACTAGGAAGGGGAAATGGGAAAGGAAGGAGAGGAGAGAGGGAGGAAAGACGCCCCCACCCTCCTTGTCCAATTCGGACTCCCAAGGGGGGGGGTGGCTGGGACTAGATGATGGATCTCGAGATCTGATCACCAAGTTTCTGGCCGGCCACCGCCGACAAAGAAGATGACCACCACCACTGGCTACACCGGCCAGAACAGATCTGCCATGGGTGCCGTCAAGCAGTCCACCAGGCCCTCGACGCCGCCGCCGATCTAAAGCCAGATGACATGCCGCCGAAGACCGCATTGCGCCGCCGCCCGATCCAGACCAGCCGTCGCAACAGCTGCCCGTGGCTCGAGGCAGGGCCGACCGCCGCCGCCGTCGAAGCCAACGCCGTCGCTTCTAGATCGGCTGCACCTCCACGCATGTTGGGGCCCCGCCACCCCTGAGACGCGGGAGGGAGGAAGAGCCCCTGCCACCGCCGTCGGCCTCCGGGCGCAAGCCGGTGGCATCCTCCGGCGGCGATGGGAGGAGGGGAGGAAGATGGGCTAGGCCCCGGCGACGGCTAGGGTTGGGGAGCCACCCGAGTCGCCCGAGCGGGGGGCGACACGGGGGTGTATCAATGAACACTGTAACTATATGAACTAAATGGTAATTTATTTCTGGAACCATTATATATGGGAGGAACACTGTGATGTCTACTACACAACCTTCTTCTTGTAGACGTTGTTGGGCCTCCAAGTGCAGAGGTTTGTAGGACAATAGCAAATTTCCCTCAAGTGGATGACCTAAGGTTTATCAATCCGTAGGAAGCGTAGGATGAAGATGATCTCTCTCAAGCAACCCTTTAACCAAATAACAAAGAGTCTCTTGTGTCCCCAACACACCCAATACAATGGTAAATTGTATAGGTGCACTAGTTTGGCGAAGAGATGGTGATACAAGTGGTATATGGATAGTAGATAAAGGTTTTTGTAATCTAGAAATATAAAAATAGCAAGGTAACGAATGATAAAAGTGAGCGTAAACGGTATTGCAATGTGTTGAAACAAGGCCTAGGCTTCATACTTTCACTAGTGCAAGTCCTCTCAACAATAATAACATAATTGGATCACATAACTATCCCTCAACATGCAACAAAGAGTCACTCCAAAGTCACTAATAGCGGAGAATGGACGAAGAGATTATGGTAGGGTACGAAACCACCTCAAAGTTATTCTTTCTAATCAATCCATTGGGTGATTCCTATAGGTGTCACAAACAGCCCTAGAGTTCATACTAGAATAACACCTTAAGACACAAATCAACCAAAACCCTAATGTCACCTAGATACTCCAATGTCACCTCAAGTATCCGTGGGTATGATTATATGATATGCATCACACAATCTCATATTCATCTATTCAACCAACACATAGAACCTCAAAGAGTGCCCCAAAGTACCGGAGAATCACGACGAAAACGTGTGCCAACCCCTATGCATAGGTTCATGGGCGGAACCCGCAAGTTGATCACCAAAACATACATCAAGTGAATCACGTGGTATCCCATTGTCACCACAGATACACATGGCAAGACATACATCAAGTGTTCTCAAATCTTTAAAGACTCAATCCGATAAGATAACCTCAAAGGGGAAACTCAATCCATTACAAGAGAGTAGAGGGGGGAAGAAACATCGTAGGATCCAAATATGATAGCAAAGCTCGCGATACATCAAGATCGTATCACCTCAAGAACACGAGAGAGAGAGAGAGAGAGAGAGAGAGAGAGATCAAACACATAGCTACTGGTACATACCCTCAGCCCCGAGGGAGAACTACTCCCTCCTCGTCATGGAGAGCACCGGGATGATGAAGATGGCCACCGGAGAGGGATTCCCCCCTCCGGCAGGGTGCCGGAACGGGTCTAGATTGGCTTTCGGTGGCTACGGAGGCTTCTGCCGGCGGAACTCTCGATCTATTGTGCTCCCCGATGTTTTTAGGGTATATGGAGATATATAGGCGGAAGAAGTACACCAGGGGGGCACGAGGGGCCCATGAGGGTGGAGGGCGCACCCTCTACCTCGTGGCCTCCTTGAAGCTTCCCTTACGTGCACTTCAAGTCTTTTGGGCTTCTTTCCTTCCAAAAATGAGTTCCGTGAAGTTTCAAGTTTCAGGTCAATTGGATTCTGTTTGATTTTCCTTTTCTTCGAAACCCTAAAACAGGCAAAAAACAACAATTCTGGGCCGGGCCTCTGGTTAATAGGTTAGTCCCAAAAATAATATAAAAGTGGATAATAAAGCCCAATAATGTCCAAAACAGTAGATAATATAGCATGGAGCAATCAAAAATTATAGATACGTTGGAGACGTATCAAGCATCCCCAAGCTTAATTGCTGCTCGTCCTCGAGTAGGTAAATGATAAAAATAGAATTTTTGATGTGAAGTGCTACTTGGCATAATTTTAATGTAATTCTTCTTAATTGTGGTATGAATATTCAGATCCGAAAGATTCAAGACAAAAGTTCATATTGACATAAAAATAATAATACATCAAGCATACTAACAAAGCAATTATGTTTTCTCAAAATAACATGGCTAAAGAAAGTTATCCCTACAAAATCATATAGTCTGGCTATGCTCTATCTTCACCACACAAAATATTTAAATCATGCACAACCCCGATGACAAGCCGTTATGGGAACCCGTTAAACATTTTCAAAATCCCCAAAAACCTAACACAAAAAAAGTTACGGGGCTTTCAAGATCTAGAGGCAAAAAAATTCAAAAAAAGGTTTTGAATTTTTTTTCAAAAAATGATACGTAATATGACCGGGAAGTTTGAAATATTTTTCAAAATTTCATCATAGTCATGAACATGAACAAAGTCCTAGACATCAACAAGGTATAATAGGATTGATATGCTAGATATATCAACAAGTGCCTGTGAAGTGAGCTGTTGCTGGGGTTAGATAGAACTCTGAAGTTAAGCGTGCTTGGGCTGGAGTAGTGTGAGGATGGGTGACCTTTCGGGAAGTTTGACCACGGAGTGCGATTTGACTTGAGATTAAGCATATTAACCTAAGATTAAGACATAATGACTTGAGATTAAGAAAAAATGAAAAAAAATTGAGAATT